GTTTCACGAATTTTTGAGTTCGGCTCCGCCCACCTCGGGCAGGCCCATTGAAGTTCTCCCCTATTTCTCAACTACGGGCCTCTTGCTTACCTTAAAGATAGCGTTCGCAATCAACCAAGTTGAAGAAACCCTGCACTCTCCAAGATCGCAGGAGTCTGCAGCCACAGAGGATATCACACTCCTGGAACTCGAAATCGAGTGATAGACGAAGGCGGAGTCAATAGTGATAAGCTGACTCCGCCTATCGTGTTAATCCCACCTCGACTGGTTTTCCCATTATCAATCCTCGCTGGAATTGATAATCGCTAAATTTCTGGCATTCGTTTCGTACACTGATAGAGAGCACTCATAGATAGGGATTAGATAAGACAAGATAAGATAGATTATCTTTCAAAGCTAAATGAATAAATAGAATTTCGCAAGTCTAGACCGGCTCAACGTTGGACGTAATGTGTGCTTCGTAGACAATGGCCACAAATAGTCAATTGAGCTGAGATGGTAAGAGTTGCCCCAGTACGTAATAGGGAATCAACCGCAGCGGAAAGTGGAAGAGCGCATTTCGAATCCGTGCCCGTGTCTACTTTTGCCCCACAATCAGAACTTTTGGTGATAACGTCGCAGTAAATTCTTAACAAAAAGAAAACAGAAGTGTTATTTTTTTGCCAAACAAGGTTGCTTATTGGCAAACTAGTTTAATAGAATTACTATGGCTACTCATACGAGAAGCCCCGAAGAGAAGAGGCATAGCTGCACCAAGGATCCCAACCTGTGACCTTACGTCTAGGAAGCAACTCGCTTATCTACTACACCGTCGACCCTCTATTCTATCGATCTTATAAGCAAATACAGCTGAGCAGTGAATCATTCATAGAGGCTTCACAATTTCCGGATGCAAGTTTGAACTCAACGTCTCATGGCGCGTTCCACAATTTACACCTCACAGCAAATGGTCGGACTGACATAGTGACTATCTCTGTTCAGAAATAGCGCCATTTTGCAATACTGACATCAAGTGTCTAGTATGTGTGACCAAGTGCCCTTGAGTTCCTATGTTTACATTTCTGTCGGAGAGTATCGATACGGTCCGGAAGCACGACCTTTGAAGCACTGATAGTTGTTGGTGAATAGAATAGTGTCTCCCAACACCTCTCGTGATAATTGCATGTTTAACAGTACGAGAGACTTCTGTGCATTCCTTCCTATATCCCTATGCCTAACTGGTTTTACGTTTCTTAGCGTTTCCTAACAAAAATCAACTGGTCAAGCATTCCGCGTTACTCTGTGTGGTGCGCGTAACACGGAGCCTCTGCACTGTCCAGTTATCATTCATTCATCAAATGACTGCGGACTTCATCGTAAGACATATTTAGTAAGTTTCTACGTGACTGCGCGATGAGGCAACTGAATAGAGGTGGAACGCAGGCCAAACAATGGTTTTCGTGACCATTTTTTGGTGAAGGGGATACGGAAACCTGTGCCAGTTTACATATTCACGTTGACTGATAGAACTTTTACTTCATTACCTTGGAATCCATTATGAAGCATTTCCTGTAATTTACTGTGAGGCGGATTCCGCGCTACAATTTGTACACTGAAAAATTCACTAAAAACTGACCAGAAGACAGCATGTCAGTGAAAAACTGAAAGCACTACTGGCAAAAAATAAGGCCACTTGCGATCAGTCATTGCAGAGAAAAGTCCCCACGTACTTAATCTAGAGAGATTTGCCAGGAATGAAGACTTTGTCTGCAGAGTACACAGCAAAGAGTCCGCTCGTCGAGCCGAACGTTGAGGTTCCGTAGAGACCGAATGATTTTCTTAGTGACGTACGTTTCTTGATGGTGCGTATGAGTACCACTGATGACATTCTTTTCCACTAATCTCGCTGGATGAGAAGGCCACTCTCTTCAATCGTGATAAAGTAATCTGACGCCGGAAGCCGGGCTTAGTTATTGCTACTGACCCGAATCTCAGGACATACGCCATAACACGTTTCGCTTTCGTGAAGGTGCGCACCTGGTTGGGGGTGAGGAGAACCCCTGACGTTTGTTCACTTATAATGGGATTGTTGTTGTTCGAAATGTGTCCCATGCTGGCCCCAATATCCTCATCTGAATCGACTGCCTCGTTATTGGAGTTACTGTTAGGGTTATTGGGATCCGGTGGATAATCGAATATTCTACTGTGCAGAGGCCATTCTATTGGTTGCATCTGCAGGAAGGATGGGCTGTTCCAATAAAAATGGGACAAGACCTCTGTCTTCGTTAATTCGCGCGTACTGCAATTGACCGGCGGGTTATTATCAGTAGAAATGTACCCGAACCTAACGATGCATTCCCTTTCGCGGACACTATAGGCGATATATTTCTAGAAGTCGGTTATTGACGAATTGTCCTACTTCCCGTTCCGGTGTCAGCTTAAGCCAGCTAAGGACAATTTGAGAATCTGAGAATATATTTGCTTCCTCAATTTTGAGCGATAATCGAAGCTGCGAAAGTACCGGAAGGGTTAGTCGCATCGCGGGTGTCATTGCATTGAGTTCTCGTTTTGGAATAGTACACTGCCCACGGAGGCTTGGTAAGCTTGGATTTTCCCATAAGAAGGTGTGCTCTTCCGGGATAAAGATAAGCACATACAGCAATCGCGCTTGAACTCGCATCTGCAAAGATTATCAGCCATGCGCTACTGCCTTCGGGGGCCCAGATATCTTGGTATTGCACCCTCGGAGCCCCGTACTTCTTCTATCAGGCGATTCCATTCGTCCTTTCACTCCGTTTGAAGCTCCGTATCCCAGTCATACTGCTCCTTCCACAGGTCCCGCAGCAAGATTTTGGCATGAAGAGGCGGTACACCAGCCTATTGGATCGTATATATAGTGACCGCTCGTTTAAAAAACTAGGGGGGGTATCTAAGAAAGGTGCAGGCTATTCTCACTGTATCGTCCAAGATATTCATCTCCGGGCGAGACTTGTTGACTTTTGCCCACTCTTTCAATGTACTCCATCATCAAGAAAGATACTGTTCTAAGTGAATGACCGAAGATTGAGGTCATCGAAAATTTGCTTCGTTGTCCTGTAGATATGTTGCCCTTCCTCATACGAATCAGTGGTTAGTATCAGATGATCCACGTACAAATTTGCCTTTACTTCCTGCACCAAGGGGGATTCCTCGACACGGTTGTGGAGGTGGTATTGAGTTGCCCCAGCTAACAAGAATGGAGACGACATTCAACGCCGAACGTTATTCTCGTAAATCTGAACGTTCTCGTGTTGCTGTTCCTGGGCATAGACCTGTGATCAATAAGGCTGCGTTTATACTTTGCGGCAGCGTAGCGTAGCGTAGCGTAGCGCAGCGTAGCGTAGCGCTTCCAGCGTACGCCAGCGGCAGTGCCGAAGAGAGGATGCATATCGATCTAGCTTCACCAGCGTCACCAGCGGCACGCTGGCGTACGCTAGCGGCACGCTAGCGTACGCCAGCGTTTCTCCAGCGTTTCACCAGCGTTTTGCTAGCGTTTGCAGCGGCAGGGGAGTAGAGACTATGGGAGAGCTGGAGGGTACAAAACACATCGATTGCCCGTCTCTCACTCGCCCTTAGTCTCTACAATGCGCATCGCTTCTGCGTCTTCGACGGGCACATAGTCTCTACAATGCACATCGCTTCTGCGTCTTCGACGGGCACATAGTCTCTACAATGCACATCGCTTCTGCGTCTCCGACGGCCACATAGTCTCTACAATGCACATCGCTTCCTGCGTCTCTCACGGCCACATAGTCTCTACTCCCTGCCGCTGCAAGCGCTAGCAAAACGCTGGTGAAACGCTGGAGAAACGCTGGCGTACGCTAGCGTGCCGCTAGCGTACGCCAGCGTGCTGGTGACGCTGGTGAAGCTAGATCGATATGCATCCTCTCTTCGGCACTGCCGCTGGCGTACGCTGGAAGCGCTACGCTACGCTGCGCTACGCTACGCTACGCTACGCTGCCGCAAAGTATAAACGCAGCCTAAAGCATCGCGTGGAAGCTCTTGTCCTGTCTGGAGACGAATTTGAAAGGAAAACCTTTTTCCACGTCACAAGTTATTGCATTCTTCCCAACACGGAGTTCGTAAACTGTGGCCCGTGAGAAGTACACGGGAACCTCGGTGCATAGAGCATCGTTTCAAGATGGGGCAGCCTTCATAATTAGCGGATGCGTCGAATACAATTCTCAGCTTGGTTGTGGCCTTTTGAGGGGTGATGACCTGTTGGTGAAGTATGTAGTGCAGTTGGTCTTTCCAAATTGGTTCGTCTTCATTAACTGGCTCGATTATGTTCTTCCGCAGCTGTACTTGAAAAATGTTATTGTACTGCTCTAGAGAATTGCTTGTCTTACTGATGATGACCACAATATCACCAAACGCCCTTATTGGCCAACGCTGCTATTGTCTGGGAGCTTAGAATCTTGGTCTCTCCATGGAAGCCAGACGTAATACCCATCCTCCCTTTTCTGAATTTTTTCGTTGAATTTTTGCCACACCCCCTAGCACCGCGGCTCCGTACACACGCGTTCACCATTTTATCCCGGGTAGCTCGAGCCTCCTTTTCGAGTCCTGTGAATCCTTCAGTGCCGGCAGCGTGAATTACCCAGAATTTTTCCCATTATCCTTTTCCTCTGTGATTTCCTTGATCGTCCTCCGTGATTGGCTCATAAAGCCTGACTGCTTCCATTTGTCTAGCACTTTTCCGCATTGTTTGGAGCGTTGTTCTGCGATGGACTGCATTTACATGGATGAATCTGAGAACCTCCACGGGGCTTCGTTTAACCGGAGTGAGAAAACCAAGCATTGTGGGTAGAATATATCAACACCAAAAGCAAAAGGTGTTGGTGGGTGCCAAGTCGCATAGATAGTTCAGAGCTGGTTACAGCCAAGAAGAATGGAAGGAAGGCGTGACCAGTTTACTGTCCTCCGGCCAGTCAAACTCCAGCTCAAGAGTTGATGATCCCAGACTTCATGGATACCACTTTTCATTTCTTCGCCTGAGGTTGCTTTGAGCCAAATGTCCTTATCAGTATTTCCTTCTCTTGCCGTACGGGTAAATTGAGGCGTCGTGCCAAAGAATGGTCGATGAAGGACATTTCAGAACCGGTGTCCAGCAAAACGTGACCTTTTTGGAGTGTTCTGGTATCAGGATACAAGAAAGTGTATGCTCTCTTGGGAAGAGTGTGGTCGCTGCGATGAGTGAGCGCTAAGTACGCATTGCGGGTGAAGAACTGAAAAGAGGGAGTCAACGTTTTCGTCACTGTCCTCTATATTACTGCTGAGTGGGGTGCTTTCGCGAAGAAGACACAAAGTTCGTTCTAGCCTTCGTGTGAGCTCGCGCTCCTCTGAGACTTCGCTCGTGCCCTTTCCACTGTCTTATTATATGAAGACGAAGCGGAAGATCCTTTTATTTCCGACTTACCAAGAGACGGGGAGTCTTTATTCGTGTTGAATAGCCCAAAATAGCATGTGGTGTGGTGGGGCCCATTACACTCAAAGCAAGACTTCCCTGCATGCCATGGTGTTGTGCTCTGATGAAGCACAGATCATGCACAGCTGAATTTGCCGGAGATACCGAGACCGCATCTGCGGTGTTACGTATTTTTTGCAAAAACTGGGTGAGTGGTTGCCCTTACAGCACATGCAGGCTCTTGCTGTGCTCCCTTTCGGTCGAAGCGCTGAGATGTTGTGATAAGGGCGACGCGTAGACGGTGCCGTGTCGGACATGAGCATAAACATCTCTCCAGTGGACAGGATTTCCCATACCAGATACTCGATAGAAACTCAATGGTAAACGGACATCTGCAGTAGTAATCGCTATAATTAAAATAACCTTCCCGCTTTAAACGGAACTTTGGGAATTCGGAGAGCATCTCCTTACCCAACCAGGAACTATTGGTTTCTTCGCCTTTCGCCTGAAGTTGACTGATGAGGACCTGGACCTGCTCCGAAAGTCCTCTGGTACTGCTGGACTGCGAGGTGAACAAAGATCCAGCTTCTCAATCAATCCCAATCATCAATCAATTGGTTGAGGAGGATTTCTTTCTTGTCATATTTCTTCAAAATGAATGCTACCGCTTTGGAATAGTTACCCGGGGCCACCTGGAATTTTTGGATGCACTCCCTAGCCTCGCCTCTCAGGGCGCTGAGCAAGTAATTATACTTCACCATCTCTGAAATATCTCGGAAGGGGATATTGCTATTGGAAATTTCCCATAAATTATCCCACTCCCATACATTTCCCCAAAAGGTAGGAATGGGTAGAGGTGGCAGCTCCAGCTTTTTGGGTTGCGGCGACTGTATTGAGGCGGGGATAGTGAGGCGGCCAGGGATTCCGTGTGAAACGCAGATGAAGCTAATGCGTGACGTCGAGCTTGCAAGAGCAAGAGTAAGTCAAACGCGTTGGAGAGGGCGGATTCGGCCGTAGTAGAGTACGCCTCATAGTCTCCCAATTCCTTGTCCTCTTCATTTGCAAAACTATCTGGCAATCCTCCGTAGTCGTTGAGCACCCTCTCTACTTTTGGAGACGGCAAAGTTGATGCAGAGACACCTTCGTCTAAGCGGCTGATATTTTCTCTCGTAACCTCACTCGAAACCGAGTCGGAAAGAATCTCTAATTTATCCTCTCTTTGCCTTGAGACCACATGCTCAAGCTTATGGACATATGTAGTAAGCAGGCGCTTCTGAGTTGCCACCTGTGACGTCATGACAACCGAGGAACAGCCCCTACCTTGTTATTGCCTGAGATGGTCTTATTGTTAAAAGGATCCCGGTTATTGACAAGAAGAGAGTGTGAAAGAGAGAATTGAATACCAAATGAAGAAAGATGCGCTTGGTGGAAAAAAGGTTCAAAAGCAACCGCTGAAATTTTGGAGGCAATAATGAATGCTGTGAACCGACCTGCCGTCGATGCACCAGTTTATAGAGGAATGCACCAGTTTATGGGAGGGAAGGTCTCTTGCTGCCACGCGGGTCTGAATGCGATCCACCAGATGTACTACGCAGGTTTATTCACCATTAATCAGCTACTAAGGGGCTATTGCCGTTATTTCAGTTCGGTCCAAGGAATGGAAACATAATCGTAGAGCCTGAGAGCTTTCGCATAAGCCCCGCTATGGTGATAAGGAAACAATGCCATTGGATGAAAGTTCTCTGACTCGAGCTGTCAATAGCGCAGCTATACGGCTGTTGGTGGACTCCAAATCCCGCAAAAGCGGCAAATGTGGCTACGCGCTTCATTTGAGGCAACCATCATCTTGTCGGTCTGGACAAGAATATAATTACGATAGTATCAAAGAAAAGTTTGCGAATATATCCCGATGAAAGCGCAGCCGCCGCCGCTGGCTTGAAACGAAGGCCGTTCACCTTCAATGAGGTACCTGGAAGCGACAATTGTAAGCTCAAAACGATTCCAGTGTACATTTGACGCAGTTTCACGTACGGGTAATGTAGGCGAACACTGGTGTTCTAGCAGTTCTAATACCCTGTTGGGCAGGTTCCATAAAAAGCGAAGTTTCAGCATGAAGTCAATCCCATGATCTATCGCCTGTTATCACTGGCAATATCATGGGATTGACGAACAAACGAGTCACCGTTCTATTATTTGGCCATTGTTCCAGTACAGTTCATCACTTATATGAGGGCGCACAACACTAAGAACAACTCAGGAAGGCAAGTAGCTCATTATCCCGTTCGGGGAGCAAAAGGCAGATTTCGAAAGTAGGTTCGAGCTCAGCATCACGAAATGTGTCTGATGGAGTAGGTTTTATCACAAACGGTGACTTTGACCTGAGGGCCATTCCTAGTGAGCAACTATACAACTACTCTTTACTTTCTTTCATTTATGTTAGAACTGTTGAGACTTTTCTCGCCTATTCTTCTTGAACTTTTCTCAGATTTTTCTTTCTCAGTACATTCAATAATCAATGAACACATATACATCATTATTATATACAAACATGTTGGGCCAACTTATCAGTAATTCATAGGATGCACTCTATAATTACTGGATTTCGACCGAAAAAATTAACCAAGGCACCTCTCGCCGTCAAGCTATTCCTCCTCAAAATGGTTGGACAAAAAAGATAAAGGATAAAGTCTTCGCCGTTGATCAATCCCTTTGTGGGATGCGGCACGCATTCTACTTCCATTCAGAATCGTAGTGGCTTACTGAATGCGATGTGGCCTATACAATGACTTGCGGTGGCCAGCCGATGTACAAGTCAGTGTTTTATCCTCCCAGACGAATCTGGTACCAATTTACCGTCCCGGAGGGTAGAAGGCTTGGTTGGCCTGGGCGGGAGTCGACCCGGGACTTGAACCCGGCGCCGCGCGAGTGGTAAGCGCGCCACTTGTCAAAACACCACCTCCGCCTCGGTTGGACAATAAAGGAAACATATAGTTGTCTGTTAGGGTCTGCTATTCCGGTGAATAGTGTAGGTAAGCCGGCACGTGCCTCTCAAGTTTTTTTTAAGGTCGCCTTCACACGTGGGGGCGATAGGGCACGCCATCGTTGTGATAATCACAGCGGCGGGGTCGTATTCGATCAAGAGGGGGAGTCGTAAGCGGAAGGCCCATTCTGGAGTGGAGAGAGCAGCGATACTTAGGTGTTGTACAGATTAAATTATACGGAGTTATTCAAGCGAACGCCTGGACGACCGCCTATGCGATGGTCAGACTTCTTCGTGAAAGCTCTGAACGAATGGTATGAAGTTCATCGTGTCCCTCGAGCAGAGAGAGTTCATTGGGCAACTCTTGCACGTTGCAGGGACGAATGGAGACGTTACTGGCGCCCGCTCGAGGAACTCGATGATCAACGGGAGCACAGGTGATACAGGTGATGCGTATCAACCAGAATACCCGTCAGTTGCTCTCTGCAAAGCGCGGAAGTAACTGGGGCTATTCATCTGTTCTTCACCACAGAGTAAGGTACTGGGTTTTCCACCCTATTTTGCATTGTTTTTTTAAGCATGTCGACGGACACCTTATGAGCTGTACGTACTTGCTACGTGCCACAGTTACAACAGACCCTAAAAAGATGGCTAGAATCGTCGATTTCCAAGAAACGTCCCTGCAGCAAAGTAGAAGCTCGTTTTTGTGGGCTCTAAACTTCTGCAGTATGCAACAAGCCTTTTTTCAGAAACGCTTCATGACTAAACGACTCCTTGGTTAAACATAAGCTTGTCCAGTTCGTGTTTGGAACGGTTAATAGAGACTTTATTTTGTACGTTTCCGGCCGTTTCGTCCCGTTCCTGCTCTGGTATCTTTTGCCTTGGCATTTCTACTGCCATTTCCAGTCGGAAACAAGTTTATCGTGTCCATTGCCTTTACCACTGACATCAATGTTAGGATGGAGATTTGGAGTTCTTCAATCTAATCTTTTATTGGCGGGCTCTCGGCTATAACGTCATCGTACAGACATTCAAATTCATTGCATCAGCAAGATATCTACGCTGAGTACATTAGCAGCAACATCAATTCCTACAACGAGCGGGAAAGAGTGGTCTTGAAGGCAATTTCCGTACTGCGCTTCATAAGAATACAGTTCAAAAATAGAATTGCCATGTGCTTTTTGACTTGAAGGAGAAGAAGCACGAAAAAGCGCCCGCAATAAGACCCTCTTTATTTCATGATCACCGGACGAGCGTAAGGTGGTCAAGATCAATTGTGAATTGCAAAAGGCGGCGATACACTGATAAGAGACGAGAGAGGCCAGAAAACGACGGGCGAGAGAGCGCAATGGCATGTCACAACGACACGGTCACTGGAGGCCGGCATGGGCCTATTGAACCTAAAACCGATGCGCCTTGAGCTCTGGTTGCCAATTTTCAACTTTTGCATATAGTACAGCCTCTGCGGGTGCCACCTGGTCATTGCACGTTGCACGTTCGAGAGGTTTTAGCCCTATTTTGTCGCGGACCGTGCCTCTAATAACGCGGCGATCCGAACGACAAAAAGATTGCTCAGCAGCCATAAAGTAGACGGATTTTCTGTTGACACCTGATGAGTATCTGTGCAGAACATTCGTATCAATCGTTGGAGCGTTCTTGTTTTCACATATAATTGTTCGGTGCTTGGAAAAACTATTACAAGGTTAGGCCGCGGAAATGGCTAATGCCCACCTGTGTCTGTTTGGGATCAACGGCAGCGTTCTTTGGGACTCTCCTGCTTACTTTTGTTCACATGCTCTACAATGAGTTATGTAAATGGGCCTTTGAAGCTCGCATCTCTTCTCAGCTGTACAATATCGACAATTCGTGACACTTTCCGAAAAGTCGAGGCGACTTGATGAGGACTTTGAGCGTAGGGGAGGATGGATGACAAGCCGGGCGGGTCGTTAGCAAAAGGCATCATGGGGATCGTGCCCTTCGGTGATCTATGTGGAACCCAGCTTATGAGGCTTCCTTGAAAAACTGTTACTTTTGAGGACGCTTGCAACTTGGGTGTTAACAGTTGGGTCCGTACGCGTTCCACAGGAACCGCAGGAGGCCGACCTTCATGAGTCTTCCCTGCTGAGGGTGATGTTAGCATTGTGTCTTCCAATGATCCAGTAAGGAATACGGCATTAATATACCAGTCGGCTGTCCATCTACCTCTGGCGCGCCTCCTGCCCGACTTCGCCGGGTGGGTGCGACTTTGCTGTGTATACCTCCTTCGGTATGTTTCAATATTCAACGAACCCGGATCTTCCTTTATCTGTACATTTGGTCGACGCTCTGTAACCAACAGCCTCACATCTTCTGCGTTCGAAACTGTTAGCATTTCTGGAATTGTGGTAAGGAGCGTTGAGCAAGTGCAGAGATGAGAGAAACGCACAACGGAGGTCGTTCAAGGCGTGCCCCACTTTCGAAATGGCTTCTTGCATTTTGTAGGCCTTGCACAAGAACCACGAAAGTGGGCTTCGTTTCTTCCTGAGCGGCCCCTGGAATGCCAAAAAAGGAAAACCGATGTTTTGAGCCTATAGGGCTGTGAACCCGCTTGAAATATTGATTAGTTGTTGAGTGCAGGGTCCTATAAAAGTACTATCGGAATCGAGAAGAAAACTAGTAGGGGTTTGGGGTCTTACTTGTGGCACGTGGATCAAGTGTGGATTTATCCTTGCTATGGTTTCTTCAACGATCAGAGCGATGTGCAACATTACCGATCGGATGGCCTAGTGAATAGCGTGGAGGTTTCTAATCTGGCAGCAGAGGCGAGGGTTGATGGTTCAATGCCCCGCAGAGCGCCAACGTGTTGCCATTTTTATAGCTTTTGCTAGACTCCGCTTCATAAAATGCTCCCTGCAGCGAATATAAGTCTTGTAACTGCCATTTATGTGCACGTTTTAAATGGGGATGCTCCATGAATAGGTGCTATTCAATTATTTCAAGTTTTACCTACCATTAAAGACACATGGTACGCTCAAACACATTGAGGGTGTATGAGACTATCAGCCCCCAGCTGTCGATGTGTCGTGGTCCCCCCGCCCAAAACTGCACGGGGTCAGAGTACGGGGCCGTGGGAAAGTAATTCCTTGCTACACCGCCCTCACGTTTATGCTAACACCATACGCGTGTAGCTCTCTTGGCTTTTTGCCAAGTCCTGTAATTTGCTTTGGAATACAAGTACAACGCAATTTCTTCATGCGGATAACATTTTAGGTGCTGCAAAACTAAGAACCGCGGACAACATGACAATAAAACATGACAATACAAGCAAAACGCAATTT